TACTATTTAAGGTTCTTATAGGTTATTACTTTTAAATAATTAATTATTACTTATTAAGTATAGAAATTAAAACCTAAAAAGTTAATAAAAAACTTAAAAAGTTAATAGAGGTTTACTAAAAAATAGCTAAGAACTAATAATATATAATATAAATATAAGCTAAAAATATAAATATTAAAAAGAAGGTATAAATATATAAAGTTAGAGATATTATAAGACTTTTAATAAAAAACTTCTATTTTATAAAAAGTTAATAGAAACTTACTTTATAATTTATCCTTATATTAGTTATAAAAGTTATAAACCTTAATACTTATAAAGTATAGCTCCTAAAAAAGTATAATAAAGTATATAATATCTTCTTAGTAGCTCTACTAAAGCTATAATATAACTAAAAGCTTATTAAAAGATAACTTCTAAACTTAAAAGAAGATTTTAAAGAATAAGAAGTTAAGGATATTATATTATAAAAGGATATATTAATAAGCCTCTTATATCTAATTAAATAGAAAGGCTAATTAATAGAGTATAATACTTAGGAGTTTAAAAAATACTTAGTAAATACTATTTAAATCCTTACTAAATTTAAGAAGTAGTAGTATAAGTTATATTATAAGTAAGATAATAAGTAATATAGTATAATAAGAAAAGTTAATTAATTATAGAATAGCTTAGAATATTAGAGAAACCCCTTAAATCTCTTAGTAAAAATAACTAAAAATAATAAGTATCTAACTTTATACTTCTATAGAAAACCTACTATATACTTATTAAACTTTAACTAGTACTACTACTACTTATTACTATTATTATTACTATTACTATTATTATTACTATTATTATTACTATTATTACTATCTTCCTCACTACTCTTACTATTACTTTTACTCTTTAAGCTCTTATTAGTAATACTATTATTACTACCTTAACCTCTACTTCTAAAGGTACTATTAAAGTCACTATTACTATTTTTAGAAGATATATCTATATCCTTATTATTAACTTAATATTAATAAGCTATTACTAAATCCTTACTAACTTATTTATAAATATTAAGCTAAAGTGTAAAACTACTACTAATAACTTTATAGATAAGTATAGAAGTATAATAATAGGTATTATAAAATATATAATAACCTTAAACCTTTAAAGGATCCTATATAAGAAAATTAGATATATAATTATTACTTTTTAAAAGATATATTATTAGAACTTTACTAAAGTAGTTAAAGAACTTAACTTAGTTAAAGATATAAGTCTTATTATATAAATAGGCTAAAAGAATATTATTAATCTATAGTATAATTTCCTTAACTAATACTTTATTTTTAACTTAGTAAGCTACTTATAAATAATATATTAAATAAATAAAAAGAAAAAACTAATTATAAAGTAAAACTTATATTAAGTATAACCTATAGGTATATCTAAGTATATAAAGTAGTAGTTTTCTCTATATTTATAATAAGTAGCTAGTTATTATAGTTTTTAAAACTAAATTTAAAACTAATAAGGTTTATTAATTACTTATAGAGATATTAGAGAAATTTAATACCCTACTCTATAACTATAAAGATATAAAAAATCTTATATTAATAATACTACTTAGTAGTAATAATATAAGTATAATACTTAATCTAGTTCTAATAGAAATAAATAGTATTAATAAGATAGGCTAAGATTTAAAAAAGAGAAGAGTTAGTTTATACCTTCCCTAAATAATTACTAAACTTACCTTATAGTACTTAATACTATAAAGATAGTATAACTTATATATATAGTTACTATCCTTCTAGTAAATATAAATAACCTAAGTATTTTTAGGAAGTTATAGTATATAACTAATATAAAATTTATTACTACCTACTTAGTTATACTAATAGTTATTATTACTAAGCTCTTCTTTATTAAAACTATACTCTTTAAGAAATTAGTAAATTAAACTTTTAGTACTTATAATATTAGTTATAAAAAATATTATAAAATAAGGGAAAGTTTAGTAAATATATTATAAAAACTTAAGGAAAAACTTATAAAAATATAAAAATTATTATAGATAGATATAATATACTAAAAAAAAAAAGAAATAAACCTTAAAGGTAGAAAAAAGCTATTACTTTATAGATAGCTAGAAGACCTTATTAAATAATTATAGAAATAACTATAACTTTAGATAATAAGGGATAGTAGTTATTTACTATAATAGGTACTATATATAAAGAGGTAGGAATAGTAAATTAATAATAATAAGTACTATCTAACTTATTTAATAACCTTATAATAAACCTATTAAGAAGGGGAATAATAAGATAAAAAATAAAATTATTATAAAGATATTATATAGGAGAAAACTTATTAAATAAAAAGTAAAATACTAAAAATAAAACCTATAACTTAAAAATAGCTATCCTTTTTTAAAAAAATAATAGGATCCCTTTAGAGTATCTCTAAATAGGGAGTATAAAAGAGGTTTAAAAGAAAAAGAACTTTAATAAATAGAACTATAATCTAGTTACTATAGTTATAGTTCTAAAAACTCTATTATTTTTTAGTAAATATATAATAAGTAAATACCCTACTAGATAATAAAGATAATAATACTAAGTTTAGTAAATATTACTTAAATAAGAGGAAGAATTTTAGTAAGAGGCTAGCTATAGTACTTAGATATATAGTAGGGATTACTATATTTAGAAGGGAGATAATTATAAGGGACTAAATATTTAACTAAAAAGCTTAGGGATAACTTAGTTAGTAGAAACTAAATAGATAGGAAAGTCTATAGGTCTAAGGTATAGAACCCTCTATAATAAGGATTTAGTAAGTACTTACTAAAGATTAAAAAAGAAAGAACTTAGAAGAAGTAAGTAAAAGTAGCGTAGTAATATTATACTTACTTTTTAGGTACTTCTTCTATTAGTTTGACCTAACTATAACTTATAGCCCCTAAATATCTTTATAGGTATATTTAACTATTATATATATTAAGTTTTATTAAGTAGTATTATTTAGTATTAAGTTTAGCTTTTATAATAACTCCTCCTATAGAGTAAAGGTCTTATTATTATTATTAGTTTTATTATTAATAGATAGGAAGCTTTTAGATTATTATAGTGATAATCTAATATATTTAATAATATTCTAAAGCTTGCTAATAAGGCTTTTCTACCTCTAATAGGTTAGGTCTTTTTAGGTTCTATTAGGACTAAGAAGGAAGTTAGACTCCTCTTTAAATACCTTATTATTAATACTATAAATAATAGTATAACTAATAAAGTTAAGGATATAGCTATAGTATTAAATTTAGCGTTATTTAGTATTAATTTCTATATATATAAGTAAAAGAGAAGGGAAGAGAGCTTTAAAGTAAGAGTTATTATTTATAGTATTATTAGAGATAGCTATACTAACCTTATTAAGTAGGTCTTAGTTATTAAGAATAGTATAAATAGTAATAGTAATATTCTTACTAGAGTAGGTGTTAAATTAATAATAAAGAGCTAAGAGGTATTATATTTACTTACTTACTTTATTAATAAAGTAGCTGAAGATAGTAATAATTATATATTAATTAAGTGAGGTCTATAGATTAAATAATATATAAACCTTAATAAGTGCTTTTTATATCTCCTCTTAGATCTATACCTTCTTAGAGGTATAAAGTTAGTTAAGTAGGTCCCTCTAACTGAACTTTAACTAATATATTTAGTTAAAAATATTATAATTAAAGAGACTAAGTATATACTATATATATTAATTACTAAATATTAAGAAGGGGTTATTAATATTAACGATAAACCTAAGGGCTAGCTTTTTAATCTATAAGACCTTACTCTAAGGTATAGTAATAAGAATAGAGCGTTAGTACTTAGGGAGGGGCCTATTAGTATTAGAATTATTATTAGATATACTCTTAATATAGGATTAATTTTAGAAGATATAGTAGATAGTCTTAAAGTATACTTTAGTACTAGATATAGTAGAGGCCTTCTGAGGTATATTAAGATACTTAGCTTTATTATAGTATTAGTAAACCTAATAAGTATTATTTAGATATATTATTAATATAGTTAAAAGTAGAGTAAAGAAGTAGTATACTTTAAGTATTATTTTAAAAGATCTTATAAATAAAGAAACCCTTATTCTTAATCTAAGAGGTATAGCTTTAACTATTCTTCCTTAAAATATACTTAATATTAATAAAGTAGTAACCTTTCTATATAGTATAAAGTAGAGCTTTAAGACTACTATAAGTAGTAAGGTTAATAATTAATATATTATTAGTAGTTAATAAGGTATAGATCTAAGTAGTAATCTTATAAGGAGTTAATAAGTTATAGCTAATAAAGTAATTAAAGTATTAATTATAGACTAATATAGGTATTATAATAATAAGCTAAAGGTTAAAAAAGATACTAAGAAGTATATATAAATAAGGCTTTAAAATATAGAGGTAGGTATAATAATAGTAGTAGTAATAGTAGTAGTAGTAATATTACTAGTAATATTAAAAAAGGGTTATTTTTAAAAGCTAGTAAAGGGGTTAAAAATAAGCTTTTTTTAAACTTTAGTAAAGAGGCTAAAAACATATTAATTAAACTTAATAACTAAAAGTGCGTTTTAGCCTTATAGTAGTATATATTAAAAAAATAAGTATTATAAGGTATTTATTAGATAAAAATTACTTTACTAATATATATTAATACTTATATAGTTAAATAGTATAATTCCTAACTTTATTTAATAAAATATAGGGTTATAAGTTTAAATCTTACTATAGGTCTTTATATTATTAATAGTGAATTTCTTTAAGTATAGTTAGTAATATATTTTTATTTTTTTTTAAAAATCTTTTAAAAATTCTAATTAATCTAGAGATTGGATTTTCTTTCTTCTAGCTAATTTTAGATTAATTAAAATATCTAAAATGAGGGTATTATCGTTTTAGCTAATTAACTATAAAAAAAGCCCTCTTTTGATTAGCTAATTAGTTAAATTGATTAAATAGGATTAAATAGGGTACTACGCTGGGGCCAAGCAGCCACATAAATTTCCTCGCCCTGAGAGTAAGTGTGGTAGCGCAGTAAGGGCTGAGAGTGTTCCCAGCAAGACAAGGCACCGACCTTGCCGATGCCAGGCTCTTCGACAACATTGTGAAGAGAAGCACCGCTGCCGTCCCCATACAAGGTTCGCTCGACATGGGTAGGCTTGATCTTGCGTCGGTTCATTTTGATCTCTCCATCTTTGCCGATGAAAGATTGAGATAGGTACAAGGAATGATTCGCATTCTCCGAGTATCCCAGCATAACGGCAATTTTGTTCTTGCCTGCGCAAGCACAGATTCTAGCCATCTCCGGACCGTCCCGTTTGAGGGAGGACTTCATGTATTCCTTGACCATGTCAAAGTCAATGGGCCTCTGCCTGTTGCATCCGTTTAGCACTCTATGCATAGCCACAGGAATGATATTGTGTTGAAATGGCTCACCAGATCCAACCTGGATAGTTCGGGATCCAGACTTCGGGAAAGGCAATCAAGTCGCAGCCTTTACCAGCAGCTTCCTCTATGAGCTTGCATGTCTTCTCGACTGCAGCTTTCAAATCAAAGTAGCAGCCTTCGGCCTGAACCGCGGCGACGCGAATAGGCTTGACGGACATTTTCAGCAGAAAGAAGTTTCAGGATTGATACGGTGTTTGAAATAGCTATGAGTTGGAGGCTCTTGGAGTTGATTTCAACATTCCACGAGGCCTGGCATTTTATACTCTCAAACGTTATAGAACAGCACACCTCTTATCTCCTTGTTAATGTCGAGTTGTGACCCAAAGCTCCATCGCCACGCCCCCGTTGGCGATAAGAGCTTCAGAACTTGACACGTTCCCACTCAACCGAGCCATTCCGATGCAGATAACACATTTAGAATGCTTGGAGATTACCAATTATCCCGGCGATCGCCACTCTAAATAAGAAAAAAAAAGATAAGAGTTATAAGCATCAGTGAAGAAACTGTGAGTGACTACACATCAAAACATACTGGAGTTGCGGGTCGGGTTTGGTTCAATCCCCGATTCCAATGCATCCATCCAAGATCGGCCCCAGATTCAATTGGCGTCGGGTCATGCAAGAGTTGGGGTACTCCAACTCCACTGTGGAGGTCTCCAACAGCCCCGAAACAGGTTGGGGTCCACGGGGCACATCCACTAACACGCGTATTCGGAGGCATGTTCAGGAGCTCAAACCCTTTCGTTCGACGGCATTATGTTTCCATGTTCAGATGCTTACTATAAGACCAAGAGTAGCCTTTCAAAAACATAGATATGAGACTATCTCTAGGCAAGTTTTATACCCTCGTGACTGAATGAAGTTTAGGTGTTGACTTGGACGCTAGACTTTGTATGCGCACAGCACGGGCGGGCACCCAGAGCCCGGGCTGGGCAGTAGGAGCTCGAAAGATGAGGAAGTACATGCAATCATTTCCAGGTTCCAGTTGCTTGAATCATTCTAGCGTTGATTAGTAATGGCAATTCATCATTCTCTCAGACACCCTGAGAAATCCTCGAAGAGTTTTCTCCGTGAAGCATTTCTGTCTAGTGAAGCTTTGATAGCAGTCGCTCGAACCTAAACAGTCAACTGAACAGTTCAACCACACCATCATGCCACCAGAAGCTGGACGCCCCTATGTTTCGAAGATATGCCACATTTGTCATCGTACCTTTGTGAGAGGCGAGCACTTACGGCGACATTTGCGAACACGTGAGCGCTCTATTTACTCCGTTGCCTTTCGCCCAAATTGACGTAGGAACCCGCTGTAGACACCAAAGAGAAGCCATATGGCTGTCACTGCGGCCAGTCGTTTGCAAGACGTGACTTACTCACTAGACATGAGCGACTCTACCACTCTGCTGTGCCTGAAAGTTATATGGCGACCACGGCATCGCCTTTAGATTCGGCTCACAACTCGAGCACCGCGGGTGTCTGGCTTTCTGGCGGCGATGGTTCAAGCACCAGTTCGCACAGCGAGCCCCAGCGCAACACCATCGCCAACAACCCACCTAGTCGCATGCTGCCTGTTCCAACACCGACTGAGTCAAGCACATTCATTGCCAACGCCGAGCTTCTGGACCCTCCTTCTCCCATGGAAGCCATGCTCGACATATCCGATTTCTTCGATTCCGTGGGACTTGACTTCGAATACGGATTTGATTTCTTTGGGCCTGGCGACCACGTGTCCGCAGGGTTGACTTCGGCCACGGAGGATGTCTCGACTGGCGAGCCCGGCCAACAAGAGAACAATGAAATTCCATATGCAGGGTCGAATTCGCAAGAGCCACTTGCAGAGCATTTGTGTAAATGCATTCCTGATGGTGATACAGGAGAAGGTAAGCTAAAATTCCACCTCTCTGCAGATACCATATTCTTACATGCTTGATTCAACTAGACGATTTCTGTGAACTGAAGCCCATATCACAGCCCTGGAAAGTCAGCGAGCCTCAAAGACTTTTATTTCAAGAGTATCTCAAGTCTTACGCATCCTGTCTTGAAGTCTTTAGACTGCCCTCGAGATTGTCCATGTCAAGATACATCGCCGGTTTTGTGGATGGTTATAGTAATCACCACCCTTTCATTCACATGCCCACTTTCTGCGTCACCAAGTATCAAGACTCACCAGAGCTGGTGCTAGCTATGATGGCGATCGGTGCACAGTTTCGCTACGAGTCTCGCAATGGCGCTGCACTATACCGTGCAGGAAGGGCAATCATACTGCACCGGCTCCAATCCGGGCAGTTTTCCGTCCAGCCAGCAGCTTCTGCTGTTGGTCAAGAATCGTTCCTCGCAGCTGCCAATACTGAAACAGACTGCGAATCGCCAAGCGCCCGCATGGAGAGCATCAAAGGTATATTGTTGCTTGCTACTTTCGCAACATGGCAGCAAGATCGAAGTCTTGTACGGGAATCGTTCGAGTATCAAGGCCTCCTGGCAAGATGCATCCGTGAGAGTGGACTGGCGGAGACGCTTGCCAACGATGGGGACGATTGGCATGTATGGGCCAAAACCGAGTCAGACAGAAGGGTGAAGCTGGCATCCTTTTGCTTTTTGAACCTCCAAAGCCTAGTGTTCAACGTACCGCCTGTTCTGCTTGGTAATGAGATCTTTCTTAGATTGCCAGTGACCTGCGATGAATGGCTAGCACCGGGAACGTCCAGGTGGCGTGAAGCTCGCTCCAAGGCAACGCCAGTGATCTCGTTTCAAGAGGGTTTTGTACCACTGATTCACAACCATCCCGGGAAAATTCCAGCCACCTCCCCATTCGGCAATTTCGTCCTGATGCACGCGCTCCTTCAGCGCCTCATCGTGTCTCGACAGCTTTGCCTGGATCCTCAAGGACCGGGACTATCTCCACATGAAGTAGCGAAGTTTGAAATTTCACTGCATAAATGGCGAGAGCAGTGGTGCAAGGCCCCGGAATCCGTCCTGGACATCCGGAATACCAAAGGCTCGCTGTCTTGGACAGCAACATCTTTGCTAGGGCTCGCTCACGTTCGCCTGCACTTTGATCTTGGGAACAAGAGACAAATTTATTCTGGGGATCCTCAATCTATCGCAGCAGCTGCATTTGAGGCTCGGCCGCCTGAACGTGGCCTACGCCTTGTATTTGCCCTCCTACACGCCGTTCATGCCCTGAACATACCGGTTCAACTCGGCATCGACTACCTGGCTAATTGCCAAGCGTTCTTCTGGAGCCTGCAACATAGCTTTTGCTCATTTGAGGCAGCCGTGTTTCTCAGCAAGTGGCTTTTGGTACTCGCCGATGGCCCCGATGTTGGAAGTATGCATTGTAAGTTGAATCTCATGCAGCGACAAAAAGCTCGCTGGCACTAACACTTGGATTTAGTCAAAGAAAGGCAAATAATCAGATGGTTAGAATTCATCGTAAATGAAGCACTGGCCTCCGTCGACGAAATGCAGGACACTCTCCAGAGTCCTGACAGCCCAATAACAGCGCAATCTTTGAGGTTTCTTGGCAATATGGTCATTAAGTTATTCGCAAAAATGTTCCAGAGATGCAACAGCGCTTGGCCCATTATGAGAATCGTTGGCGAAAGCCTCCACGAGTACTCCAAATTGCTAGACGGAATTTCCGGACCGGGCAGTTCGACTTCGACAGGCAGCTTTAGTTGTGCGGTTTCGAATTAGTCGCAGGTTATTCCGCGGCACTGGATCGACCGAGACCAGGATTGACCAAGCCGAAGCACCTATGAAGTTGCCAAGCAATCCGGAAGAATATGGGACGACGAGAGGACGAGCTTATGTAGATCATTAGTTGATCTTGATAAAAAGGCAATCATACTGATCTTTCCATCCCTATATCTAGTCTTCCGATGAACAGCTGGTGCAACTGATGTCTCTGCATTGACAATTCGTGGGCCAAACATGGATCAGACGACGATCAAACCGCAAGTGGCCGACCAACCCGTTCGGATGGCAGCTGCCATCATCCGAATCAGATGCATCGTGGAGAAGATCGTCGAAAAGTGACCATGATTCGACCAGAGCTTTGACTTTTTCCGAGGCGAGTTTCAGTGAGCCCGGCATTGCCTCGAGAATTATGGTTCCCGTCATACGGGTCTGTATCAAGTTCACCGAAAGCCGCGAGAAACACGCCGGCCCATCGAATGAACGGCATCCCACAGCTGCTGCGACTTTGGATTTGACAGAGCTTTCTGGGTTATTTAAGTGTTGGCGTCCTCGGAGTTTTCAATGTTGTCATCTAGTCCTTCACTGACAACTTTGCGACAACTTCAAACATTCACTTTGCTGTGCAAACTCTTTCGCTTCTTCGACCTGGTGTCATTTTATTTCTTATTACTATTCAATCATTTTCAAGTATTAAATAACTTTCACTCAACTACCGCGAAAATGGTCCGCATCACTCTCTTCACCACTCTCGCTCGTGAGTGCACTCAGTCTATGCCATCTTCAGGAAACAACGGCTAACCCGATGCAGTCGCCATGACGGCCTTCGCGCAGATCAAGCCTAACAACGCCGGTGCGAGCAAAGTCGGCAAGGGTGACGGCTCTCAATTCATCACGGGCGGATGCGTCAGTGATGCCGACTGCTCTTCCGCGTGCTGCGCGAACGCCAGCGGTGTCGGCGTGTGCTCCGCTGAGGCGGCGCAATTCCAGAACGGCAAGAACGGCTGCGGTTTCGACGACCCCAACGCCGCTGCAACTATTGCTGCTGCTCAGGCCCAAGCCAAGAAGCAAGGTTTCTAAGCTGGAAATGCAGAAACTAGGGCCGCTGGGGGATTTCGCGCTGTCAAGCCATGGGAAGGCGAAGCTGCACGCAGGAAAGCCACAACAACCTTGGTTTAGCAACCGAAAACAATAAAGTCCAAAGTACACAATCAGTCGAAACCATTGAAGAATACTCCCAGGATGTTGTTAGCGCTCATTGTGAAACTAACTTGACAAAGTATCGGAAGCGTATATCAGTTATGAGTACCCGGATATCTTTTCAGACAAGCTACATCTTAATACTTGATACTTTGGCAGCGTGTTGAACACCTCGCTGATCAGGAGACACCTGGTAACGTTCATTTCCTATCGAAGTTCATTGGCTACTTCGCCCGAGCTTTGAGTGCATGGCGGAACTTTCCAA